TGCGTTTAATTTCCAGAATAGAATCAATCTTCGCTTAGGTTGGGTAGACCGCAAAAACTTTTAGTCCTATTCAATCCAGATTGGACAGCGTGTGACAACAACAACAACAAAAAAAAAAAAGGTCCGTTGCTTGATCCGCTGCTTCAATATTAGAGATTTTGCGGAGAAAGGGGAGAACCTCCCAACCTCCGTGTACTGTATAATGTATTGGGAGGGGAAAATGAAATTATTTTGACTATTCGATTACTTTCCTTTTATTTAAGCCATTCCGAATATTATTCCTTAGAAAGCTAATCTGTGTAAAAATGCACCCATTTTTGGAAGTTTATCTATACTTCAGCAGCTTACTGCAACTATATTATATAAATATTCACACATATGCTCATAATATAAGCATAACGATCATAATAAACACGAATATGAACTGACCACGCGGAACAGAATGCAATTATTAAAATCTTGATAGATTCAAACGTGTGTAGTATTTGGGTGGGCGGAAATCCGAATTCCGGAATTTTCTACGGTTTTCGCAATTCTTTGACCAAAAGAAAGACGTGCACTGTCTATACTCGCGCCTACCATAGGTTACGTTAATACAGAGAAGGAGGGGGGGAAGCTATTTCCGGGAGTATGATTCACCATCTGACGTTCCATATAAGGAAGAAAAGTTGTTTATTTAGTTTCGGCTTTGGTACGGGAGGAAAAATGCGCATTCATTAAAAAAAAGCACTAAAAGCAAAAAATAAGCACTAAAAACAAAAAAATAAGGGCTTTAAAGAAAAAGTAAGCACCTATAAGGGCCTTTATATTTTATTTTTCAAATATAAGGACTTACAAGCACTTGTAAGGACGGCTACGAACCCTGGTTATGTATGTTTTCAGACAAACTGATTTTAAGAGATTTTACTGTTCAAGAAGCTAAACAGTAAAACAAGCATTCAGAAAGATTCAATAATATTCAAATTTTTTGATATAATTCAACAGGATTTCATTTTATAAAACTCTTTTTTATCCTAAAATTCAAATCCAAAATATTTCTACATCTAAAATAAGACTGAGAAGGAATAAATTACACAGAACAAATGAAATATGATGTATAGAAACTAACTGCAATGCATATAAAAACTAAAATACAATACCATGATCTAATTCACAAAAATGTGAAATTTCTTAAAATTCGAATAACTGCTTACTACCAATTTTTTATTCACAAATTTCACAATTTATGAATAAAAAATTAAAATAAACTGAATTAATACTTACATCATAGCAGGAAACTGAAGTTTCTTGGAAAGGATTGTTTTCAGTTACGAAATCACTAATATCATCCAATTGAAGATTGGAAGCAGCCTGATAAAAGGATAGAATTGAGAGGCAGTTTATTACTATATGTTATTATGTAAATGAATGAAATAAATTTCTTTAAATTATAAGTAAAATTTTTGTGCTATGGCCACTACTTAAGATAATTCTCATTTTTGATAAAAGACTCCCATGCATAATGAATCCCTAAGCAAGAATTTGCAAGACTAGTTATATAATTTAGACTTTTGTGCATTAGACTGCAATAAGCAATTTTAGAATAGTAGTTACAAGAGATGGCATCCATTTTAAACTTATGATTATATTTCTATTACATTTTCTCTTTTCCCACTGATGCTAACAATTTTTTATTTACTTAGCAGTGAGGGAGATGTTACCTTTCTTCTTCCAACAAAGAGGCATTTTATCTTGCATACAAATGTATAAAATATGGACACACAATTAAATTATATATCAACAAAAATGTTTGGAGGTGATGGGTAAAAATTGCAAGCAAAAACAAAACTAGTTCAACAATATCGCTCTTTATTTATTGTTAGAGAGCATGCTCATGTCAATTAAGTGGGATGATGTTTGAGTGAGAAACAAACATATTAAAAATATTAATCTTTTCTTAATTAAAACTTGACAATAACCTTGGTGACATTTAAATAACAAAGGAAGTGCCAGATGTTTATGTTACATGCATAGCATATTTTGCTGATGGTACTTAATTTGGATGTCCAGCATCTGGAATGATCTATAATTCAGACCTCCCAACCACTAGAAACTTTTCTTTGGATATGTTTTACACATGCATGGTTTATATTTTTTCACGATAAAACATGTGGAGAGTGCCCATTTTAAATTTTATTTTTGGCACTAAATAAAATACCTCCGACTTGGAGAAACAATCATATTTTAGCACAAGTCTGTATGGCTCTGTAGCCACCTTTTTTGCTTGGCCATACACCTCAAATCAAAATATTGTTAATTTTACACCTAGTTAAAAATTCATATCACTGATACTAACTTCGCAAATCATTATTAATTATTTTTTGCTTTTATCACAGCATGGCAGCTTGAGAAATGACTCGAGCAATGATGTATAATTTTTTTTTAAAACATTAGTCACTGAATATTAAAAAAAGATCTTCTTCAGAAGGTTAAACCAAACAGCAGAATAATCTTTTATATTAACATTCCGTTTACCAATGCTTGTAGACTTCAGACAAGGCAATTATGACCCGTGAAGTGCTGAGTGTGTTAACGAAATACTTAACAGAAATTTCTTTTTATACAGAGAAAGTAGATTTTGCAAATGATATTCATAGGCCAAAAGATTACATTTAGTGTATGTAATAACTGATTTATAATTCAGATAAGCCAGGAGTGGTGACAGAGCTGATGCAGTTGAACCAGGTGGCAGCATTTAGGAAAAGCATAATTTTTAGAATTTAGAATGAAGCACTGAGCAGCAAAATTAAGGGATAACAAAATCTTTAGAATTTAGGGACGGGTTCAGATAGCAGAGTGTGCAGAGTGTGCAGTTGAACCAGGGGCAGATTTAGGAAAGCATAATTTTAGAATTAGAATGAACACTGGCAGCAAATTAAGGGATAGCAATCTTAGAATTTAGGGAAGGTTCAGATAAGCCAGAGTGGTGACAGAGTGGTGCAGTGAACAGGTGCAGCATTTAAGGAAAGATAATTTTTAGAATTTAGAATGAAGCACTGGGCAGCAAAATTAAGGGATAGCAAAATCTTTAGAATTTAGGGAAGGTGTTCAGATAAGCCAGGAGTGGTGACAGAGCTGGTGCAGTTGAACCAGGTGGCAGCATTTAGGAAAAGCATAATTTTTAGAATTTAGAATGAAGCACTGAGCAGCAAAATTAAGGGATAGCAAAGTCTTTAGAATTTAGGGAAGGTGCTGGGATGCAAAATTTTATGAGCAGTAAAATTTTTACAATTTAGGGCAGCAGAATTTAGAACCCACAGGGAGTAGATTAAAATGTCTAGTGCCAGCCTTGGATAAACTCCCATATATACTTAGTATATATAGGAATTTATTTGGAACTTCAATATGCCTTAAGCATGTGCAGTAAATAATTACATTAAGCATTAAATATAATAAATAATTAATATATATCAAGCTTAACTTTGTCAATTTGCAATAGAAGCAAGAAAAAATTTTATGAAACAGCACATCTTTAAGTCTTCAATCGCTGATATATTGCCAGTTGTGTAGAGTGGACTCTAGCTACACTTGATGAATCTGAGGTCACAAATCTGAGGATTTTCAAAAGCCAAAAGTGAAATTTTCTGTTTAACGCAATTTGTGAAGAAATGTGCAGAAGCGTTAATTAATGAAGACTATATAACAGAAGTTTTTTATTGCTATTTAACAATGCCCCAGTCAACTAACAGATGGCAAAATCTGTAGTATAACTCTAAATCCAGAAAATATGGTTACCAATATTGAAGAAAGTGACAGAAAGGTTGTTCAGTGTTGTTGTTGAAGTAAATCCACTTTTCATCACAAGTGAAGATCCGATCCAGAATTTTGTCCTTGTGTTGATAATCGAGCAGATTAGTGCAGGCTTGAACACGTCTGTCCTTATCTGCTTGTATAAGCTCATGCATCACCCAGCGATTGAACATTATGCAGTTTAGCAAGCATAGCGCAACTATGATATTGCATAATGTTTAACTCCTTAGCAGTTCTCGAGGGTTGCATATGTTCTCTCCAAGTTCTCGCAGCGCGCCTCATCAACATCATAGGCCGTCCAAGCACTCTGCTCTTGAATGTCATAGTCTGTTCTGAACTTTCAGTACAATCTTACAAGGCTAAAGCGGTACACATATTGGTGACATTCTGTAGTGACATTTGCAACAGCTGGAATAAAGGGTACTAATCTGGTAGTGAGATAGCTCCATTTCAGACACCTTGTACTTAATGATAACGATAATGTTTTACAAATTTTACAGCACAGTGTTTTGAAGCAAGTCTTTCTTTCAAATGTCAAAAATCGTTTTACAACATATGATTAAACACACCAACGCGAACTGTTTGTGCAGACAATATCTGTGGTGGCAGGAAACTTTTGTTAAAACCCAATACACACACATACATATATATATATATGATAGAGAGAAATAGAGTATATATATATATGTCTCTCTCTTTATCCATATAGTATATATATAGGAATAGAGAAAGTTTCTGCTTTCACACAGTGCAGCAACACTCTCAGAATGCCAAACTAACCTAAATTATTCATGATTCATATTACTGAACTATTTACAATATGATTTTGATGTAGAATATGTTAATATTTATGTAGATATTCTAAACTGTATATAAAACTAAACTAAACCCAGTGGCGTAACAGCCCTAATGGGCTAAGGCCTGCAGTGCCCGAAACCTGCTTTTTTGACTGCGGGCCCAGGTGTTCGTAAGCATATGTCCTGAACAAGTGGTCATCTTTTCGCAAGACCCCCCAGTGTTTAGTCCCCAAGCGAACTTGGTACGCATTTTATAAACCCAAGTGATGGAAATCAAAGGATGAAAGGCTGAGTCAACCTTGCCCAGCCCGGGAAGCCCAGACCTGTGGTGCTGCTGCGCGATGCGCTAACCGGGCCTTCAAACTGTGTATTCTTTGGCTAATTTCATTTTGTAACTTTCTCATACTTTTTTATACTGAAAATATCTTGAGAAGCTTTATTTACAAATAATTATTTAGAAATTATTTGACTGATGCTGTTCTCTTAATCTTAACATTTAGAATGCATTCCTCATTGGGAGAAAACTCTCAAACGTAAAATTTTAAAATAAGGGGAAGATTAGTTTTTCACATATATTTACCCGGAATTTTTTCCAAGGGAAAAGAAGAAATTTTGCAGACTTTTCCCTGCTCATGAAGAAAGACTTGTGTCTGATTGCCCTTGAAATCTATATCAAACTGATGTTGCTTGGTGACTTAACCCCTCACTTGGCAAATTTTATAACCTATTTTGATTCTCTTTGTTGACTTTAGATTAACAAATTTATTCTCTAATAGTTTGATCATATTTAACAGAATGTTGATCACAACAAACAATATATTTTCCATGCTTTTGTATAGAAATGTGTGGTACTAGGGAAAATCGAGAACAATATCTGAATGATAACATTAAGAGGAGCCAACTATACCTTTAAATACAATGAAAATAAAATTAATAGTTAAATACATACTATTGTGTGGGTAAACTCAGTAATGTGTCATTTACTGATGTAAAACAAAATTAAAGGCATATACTAGCTGATTAGACATTCGTTGAATCTTTATAAAAATTCCTACAAATGTTTACGGTAAGAAAAATCAGACTAAATAAAATGCAATAAAAAAAAAATTATGCTGAAAATCTCAGGGCTAGGAGAATGAATTCACACAATTTAAGTTTCATTAATTCAATAGACTTTATTTATTACAGAAAACCATTTTCCTTAGTAAGGCTAAAAAGTGAAAACTGAAAGATTTGGTGATCTGCCATGAGGTTGAGAAATGTGATGAAAAACCAGGAGAACTAGCAGTTATGTATTATGTTTCGCACATGTCATGTTGGAATTATAACACCACTAGCAGCTTATAAGAAGTGTGGTTTAAAAATTTTGAATTTGTAAGGAAAACGTCCATGTTTTTATACCACTCTGTTTTTGAATTTTTATGCTGATAACTCTGTAAGGATTATTTTGAAAAAATTATTCCTATTCTCCGGCAATAAAAAGAAAACAGTGAATGAAGTTCATTTAAGTTGGAACCCAAAGTGTGAAAAAATATAAATAAATTCACTACACATGCTAAAGCTCAATATTAAAAGACAAGAGAAAATATTCTCAAAAGAAATGATTTTTCTAAAATGATTTGTTTAACATGCTGGATTTCTCAAAACCAAAACTTTGTTTACATCCAAAAGGTGAATGCACTATAGGTATTCACAAATTATCAGAATTTTACTAATACATTGTGTGATATGAATAAAAATAACAAAATTGAAGATATTGAAAAATAAATTGGAAATATAAACAATTCTGCAAAGTAAAAACACATTAAAAAAAAATCGAGATTTTACATTATGCCCATAGAGGCACTTTTTTTTTAATGTTTTGTGTGTTACCTTTATTTATTAAATATAAAGATTCTTTGCACTTAAACCATAAAATTCCGCTCAACAGCAATATCGCAAAAGAATTTTAAAATGAGCATATCTTAAGAATTTCAGATACACAGTTTCACGCACTGGAGCTAAAAATGTCCCCCCCCAGTACAGTGTTGGTATTGTTCTCTTAAATCATTTGGTATGTTAATCAAAAATTCATTGAAGTTTTACAAAATAGATAATAAAACAAATTCGAAATTTGGTCTTCCAGATGCCCATATTCGGGTGGAAACGTACGTTATTCAAAATTTGATGGCTCTAGGTATTGTTTTATTACATTCGAGAATAACTACATTTGCAATTCTTCATTATTTAATTTCTTTAAATATTATACAGGCCTCTAATATCTGGTGGCAACAATTTGAAAAGTGAATCAATATTTCAAAATCGACTTGCCCCTTTGGACTAATAAAACCAAAATAACCCTAACAAAAATTTAAAAAAAAATTTTTTTTTTTTCTAGAGTACTTGAACTTTTAACAAATTAAGGGGGGATTGCATTCATTATCCATTGTAGCAGTTGGAAGGAATAATAATAATAAGGTATTTAGATAATTTTCTGTTGGCCATTTGCAGCAAATAAAAACTATCATCAAACAATGTGATTTAGTGCCATTAATAGATAAGCATGTTGTTATAACACACTCCTAAAAATTTCCTTCTGCTTTATCCTTCTCAATAAGGCAGTTTAGTTTTTGCAAAGAAAGATATAAGCTAACTCGAAACTCTGTTTTCTCTTGCATTAAAATAAATAAACTTATGGACCTGCCTTCTGCAGAACAGCAGGCAGTGGAATATTTTCAAAATTACAGGACTAGTTATACTGATGCACATACTCAAAACCTTGAAAGACTGAAGGTTTGGCAAAAAGGCACAATAAGAGACACCATGTGACATTATTTAGACTGTAATCCAAGTTCACAAAGATGATGCTAATCTTTTTGCTATTTCAAACAGAATTTTTTAATCATTAAAATGATTATGCTAGTTTTAATTAATTCATTCATCAGATAATTTGATAGCTTGAGTTTATATTTATATGACATCTCTATAACTTGTATTTATTGATTATCTACTTTAATAAAGAATAAGTTATTACTTAATTAAATAAAGAGCAATCTATTCCCTCAAATTTCCACCATAAAATAACTAGCAAAACCTCCAGCAACTATTCAGTGTCAACATCATTTTACAATTGGTAAAATATATATATAAATACCAATAAATCCAACAGGACATGAAGTTTTTTAGAATACACTGTAACTTACCCAAAGAATATGATACTCCTTTAGAAAAAGATTGCTTGTTTAGTCTAAATACACACCCAGGAAAAAAAAAAAAAAAAAAAAAACGCATCTTACTGTGGCTAATTTTAAATCACAATTTTTTCAATACTTTTCGGTGGATTCATGTTCATTGGGCTGTCTCAGCAGTTGCAAGTCTATTCTAATTTCCTAATAATGCAAAAACTCATGCATAAAATTTTTGTAATTTAAAATGCTCGAACTGATCTGATAATTAAATTAGACATACTAAACATATTAGAAATAAATATTAAAATGCTTATGAAAATAACTGTCAGAAGGGGAAAAGAGAGAGAGAAGGAAATCTTAAATTACTGTAAGTATTTTATTACAACAAATACTTGCTAACAACTTTTGACACATTTATTACTAACAAATTTACTTTCTCCAGTCATCATAGTTAATGCAAATGAATATAATGTTTAAAATGTGTAAACAACATACATTATGAAATTCAGTATCTTCTTCCTTTAAATCAGCTAGGGCCTTTTTGAAAGGTGTAGGTGTCCTGGGTGAAGATTCAAAAGATGAAAACTTAGGTGTATGCAATAAACTAAAATAAAAAATTATTAATTAATAATTGACACAATATATATTCTTTTTCAAAATATATATAACAGCAAAAGAATGCACAAATTACATATTTTAATGAAATATTTAAAATTATCCTGACCTTTTTGTATTACAAAGTAAAAATATCTGGCTTTACCTATTTATCTTATATAGACTAATTATTCACATATATGAAAGATATTTCAGAAAAATCTCCTTTAAATTTATTTATGTAAGCAAGTGGCCATAATTGCTATGCAAGTCAACTTGTTAAGTTTTAAAAGAAGAATTAAATAATTAATATAATTTCTAATTTTATTGCTTGACAAAATATAATACATATTTTGAAATTTTAATCATTTTTAATAAACTTTATGATGTACTTTTGAACTAAATATGCAATCAAAAGAAAGATTAGAAAACATTTTTTTAACTTTTTTTGAAATATTCCTAAATTAAGGAATATTAAAAATTTAGTCATTTTTAAAATTTACACTTTATATTCAGGCTAAAAAATCAAAAACAGTACTACCCCCCCCAAAAGTGAATTTTACAATCTTTGTAAAACTATGCCTTTAAGTTGGTGTGTGTGAGGGGGGGGCTTGATAACATCACATGTGCTTCACAATATTTGAAGGGGGGAACAATATGAGAAAACACTAGATTACATCTATAAAAGAACAACACAGAACTAAACTTTACTGCAGGTGTTGAATATAAATATTCTACAATGCACAATAAGAAAAATTTTATTAATTCTAATGACACAGTTTGAAGCTTGAGAAAGAGCAGAAATTTCTGCCTCAAAAATGATGCCCACTCTAGAAAATCCTTCTCTGTAAACAAGGACATATTAAAATAAACTATGGCCGAAAATTTACTTTACTCAGTTCAAGAACTATCACACAGGCTTAATATTTTAAGAAGTAAAGTACATGATAATTTGAAAAAGATCTGATATACAAATTGCTATGATGTATGAGTACCTCACACTTTGTTGAACAGAGCAACAGAATATGCTTGCTTAAGCTTTGGCATGCGATTCTTTGTTAGCTCCCTCCACTTTTTTAAGATAATTTACAGTTATGTGTACAGTCATTAATGTATAAATCCCAAATTTTTACTCATTCTATTACATTCTATGAATTTAATGGGCAGCAGATCTAATTATTGCTTCATCCAGAAAGGTATGCAGTTTTTTAAATTGAAGTGCATTTCCTTCTAATTATTTTATTACTGCTGATAAGAAGTGACCTTGATTAAAGCCAAATGTTTTACATATTTTGTTTTCTGCTCATGCTGCATGATTCTAGCATATGTTGTGGTGCAGTTTTTTTCAGTACAGTGCTAAGAATAGAGAATCCAAAATGCATTTTGGTCACATTAAGTTCTTTCATTTTTTAAATGAGAAAAAATGCTAGTCAGACTACTAATAAAATTTGCATTTTATACAGACAAAGTGTTGCTTCTGATGACACAGTTTGAAGCTTGAGAAAGAGCAGAAATTTCTGCCTCAAAAACAATGTCCGCTCTAGAAAATCCTTCTCTATAAAAAGGACATATTAAAATAAACTATGACCGAAAATTTACTTTACTCAGTTCAAGAACTATCACACAGGCTTAATATTTTAAGAAGTAAAGTACATGATAATTTGAAAAAGATCTGGTATATAAATTGCTATGATGTATGAGTACCTCACACTTTGTTGAACAGAACAACAGAATATGCTTGCTCAAGCTTTGGCATGCGATTCTTTGTTAGCTTCCTCCACTTTTTTTTTTTTTTTTCAGATGAGAAGTAGATATTATACAAGAAAAGATCACGAGGTAAGCCAAAGAAACCTCCTTTATTAACATCGAGAGGAAGGCAGTATCCCCAAAAGTAATTCTTTGTACAAGGTGGTAATACAAAGAAACTGTACATTATGAATTGTTGCCACCAAATCAGACAAATTCTGAAAAATACTGTTTCCAAATGACTCTCTTAAGAGTAGAAATAAAAAATAAAGCATCCAAAAATAGCCAATCGCCAGGGTCTTGTCTTTCATCATGAAACTTATTCATTATATTCAAGCAAGCATATTCTACTCACCCCACATTTTGAAGAATGTTAGACAAGAGACGTACTGAGCATGACTGGGATGTTTTATATCATCTCCCATATTCATCAGACATTGATCTCACGGATTTTTATCTCTTCAGATAATTTCAAAACCTCTGAATAACTGGAGTTCACTTCTTTACAAATATATCTAATGATTTTTAAAAAAGAAATTTTCCAGTTGCCAAAGAGATGGCAAAAAGTCATAGAACAAAATGGTGCTTATATGCTTCAATGTCATTTTCTTATGTTTTTGTACTATTTCATTTGTATTTAATACTGGAAAACCACAGAACTTTCTGGATGACCCAGTATTTGAATTTTGAAAATGTGCATGTAAAGCTGTTTTCCTTAAATACTGATCCCAGACATGCACTTCTCAATACAAAATATCACAAAATAAGAAACAATCTTATTGAAATACTTTTAGCGAGTTTTGATTTTTCAGAGAGTTCTGTAAATACAAAATCTAACTCTTTATGAGCAAAACGTCACATTGATATTACATTAAACATACTTTAACAAGTTAAATATAAAAACTCAAAAACTAATTTGCAAATAGATTAATAACTGCTTCAAAAAACCATTTGCATGGTTAATAACAACAGCTTTTTTATCCAGTTGGGCATCAAATAAGCAGTTTTGGTAGTTCTCCATAAATCTGGTTAACAGTGATTAATAACAGGTATTAAGAAGTGATTTAAATTAGTAAATATCTTCTAAAACATTTCAGTGGTTTTTCAAATATAGGTATGCAACTGTTTATATATAATTTATTAAAGCTTAGGCATCATTTTATTAACTGGATATTTTGATCTTGAAGGCCAGATAAAGAGTTAAATTTTACATGTATAGAATCTTCTGCAGAGCAGAAACTGTTTTCATAAAATTCTTACCTTATTTTGAAAAACTCTGAAGATGTATGCCCAGAATTAAAAGAAATTAATGCATATATATATAGGAAGTACAAATAAATCTCTGCCTATTTTTTTTATAAAAAATTGGTAATTTATTGTGAAAGAATGGTATGTCATGTTTTATTCGATGTAGTATTCATTGCTAGCCACTACTTTTCCCCATCTTTCTGGCAGCATAGATACTGTGTCAGAAGAATGCTTCATCTTTTGAGACTATCCAAAAGCTCAACCCAATTTTTGGTATCTTCATATAATATAAAGTGCGACTCAGACAGGCTATGTCATCAATTGAAGGGAGTAATCAGATGGAACAATGTCTGGTGAATACAGCCTGAGGGGGGAAAACCTTCTTATCTGAGTATTTCCGAGTAGGTTTAAACCAGCGCAGTAACGTGGATGAATATTATCAGGCAGGAGAATAATTCTGTCATGTCTGTAGTAGTAATGGGTATATTTTTCTTTGAGTGCTTGGCTCGGTCTCATGAGTTGTGTTTGGTAGAGAGGTCTAGTAATGTTTCATTCAGTTTGAGCTACTCATAATGAATGACACCGAGTTGATCATTATATAAACAGATTTTTTTGTCTATGAATATTGTCTTGCTATGACCATGCAGGTGGCCCCCACGATTTCTTCTTCTTTTGGTTATCGCAGTGGATACATTTTTCATTACCCGTGACTATACAATTGGGGGGGGGACCCTCTCATTTATACCTGGCATGCAGCATTTCACGTGTAAAAAATCGGAATTCAACATTTCTTGGCTTCATTTCATATGGAACACAATTCAAAAGCTCAAACCAATTTTTGGTATCTTCATATAATATAAAGTGCGAATCAGACAGCTATGAGTCATCTATTGAAGGGAGTAATCAGATGGAACAATGTCTGGTGAATACAGCCTGAGGGGGAGGGGGGGGGAACCTTCTTATCCGAGTTTTTCCAAGTAGGTTTAAACCAGCGCAGTAATGTGGATGAACATTATCAGGCAGGAGAATAATTCTGTCATGTCTGTAGTAGTAATGGGATATTTCTTGAGTGCTGCTCGGTTCATGAGTTGGTTGGAGAGAGTCCGTAGTGTTTTCATTCAGTTTGAGCTACTCATAATGTATGACACCAAGTTGATCCATTCATATACATGATTTTTTTGTCTATGAATATTTGGCTTGGCTATCGACCATGGCCAGGTGGCCCCCACGATTTCTTCCTCTTTTGTTATCGCAGTGGATACATTTTTCATTACCCGTGACTATACAATTGGGGGGGGGGACCCTCTCATTTATACCTAGCATGCAGCATTTCATGTGTAAAAAATCGGAATTCAACATTTCTTGGCTTCATTTCATATGGGACACAATTTCCTTCCTTTGATGTGAAATTGCTTGTTAAGTCATTCCTAATGTAAATGCAAGATTTACTTGCATTTGGCACGAACCTTCATCCAATAATGCTTCCAATTCTGTGTCTTCGTACGCTTTCATCCTTCCCGCTATGCTCTTTGTCTTTGACATAAAAAATTCACCATTCTTAAACTTTTTAAATCACTCATGACAATTTTTCTCACTTAAGGCAGTCCCACCATATGGTTCTATGAGCAACTAATGTGCCTGTCACAGATTTCTTCAAATTAAAGAAGTATATTAAAAGTTCCCACAAATGATGCTCATTTGGCTCAAAAGACATTTTTGCAAGAAAAAAATGGTACTTTTCCGTTTTGCCGGCGCAAACGATAAAGTCGCCAAGAATGGTACAACTGATGCCAAACAATATCTTCGCTGGTAACCTTTTACTTCATTTTCAAAACAAGTCGCAGCCATTTCTTACCAGATTGAATTTTTTTTTCTTTCCAATACTGGCATACAATTACATAAAATATTTACAAATATAATTAAATTTTATGCCCTAAGACCATTCACAGTAATTAAGTCAATTAGGATGCTATCACACCACTTACCCGAAAATACAGGAAAGGCAAAATCGAAGGTTAAATTCATCAATTCTAATGAGAATGCACTAGCGAAGTAAAGCACTGCGGTTTTACATAATTTCTGAGTAAGCTATTAGTACGAATTGAAATAATTCTTGCATTTAAACTTGTATTCCAAATTAAGATTTAACTTGAAATTAATGTAGATAATTATATTTTTGCAGTGCAGTTTACGAGAGATGAATTACTGGGGTCACATGAACGAACCAGCGAATCAGGATGTTGAACCATAGACATAAATCTTAAGTTTTACAAATTTATTGTTTTAGTATTGGCTTTTACAAAAATTTTAAACCATATTAAATGTTATGCCTTCAAAAAAAAATTCTTGACTACTTTGTTAACATTTTTTATGTGTATACTGTATGTTGTCGCCAACAAAATCTGCTTGGCAAAATTTGCGCCGGCAAAACGGAAAAGTACCCCAAAAATATATGATACTGATATAAAATTGCTTGTATTTCAAGATTATATCGTTATCCCAATATAATATAGGTAGGGTTCCATATAAATATGTATGTATAGGCAAAAAGCTACAACATGTAAATAGTGCATGATCAGGATCAGCCAACACATAGGTTGTTACCAAGTCATGCAACAAGTAAGATATCTTGTATTCAGAAATATATCTAGGAAACTATATTGTTGTTACCAAGCAGATCAAATAGTCCAGCCTTTTTTTGGTTGAAGAAGAAACTATGTTTAGCCAATTGCATCAGTTGACAGAAAATCTCTGAATAACTTTGCATGGATATACTATAAGAGGAAACTGCTTCTTCATAAGTATGATTAATTCAACATGCTTTGTGCAACAATTGGAGGAAAATGCAAAATTTTATTCACACTTCAGTTTTACTGAATGCATTATTTTTTCCTGTTTTGTGCTTCCTCATGTTCAATACTGGATAGAGAGGACTGAAGCGTGATGTTCTTACCTGAGATTTTTTTTTTTTTTACTTATAATCAATAATTATTTTTTACCTTCTACATACTAAAAATATTCCTGAAAAAATGACAGTTAAAGTCAAGTGATGATGTCATGATAGTTATATAGGAGCTCAAAACATATACTTAATAGCTGGTTATTTAACTATGCAAAGTACACAAGGGCTGCCTACCTGAGGAGGATTCCTTTGTAAAGGATTTTTGAAGAGAAACTAGGGGCTCAAATTCATGTTGCACATGGGGAAACTGTGAAAACCAACTATGCGGCCAGCTCGTTTGTTTAAGTTCAAACGCAGGACAAACTACCGTTACTCAACAATCTTTAACTGGTGAGGTTCATACATCTAATACAAAAGCATTTTTAATGTCATACTTCAGTAAGATAAGGTTAGGGTGCGAGGCAATTGCACTTCACATAAAGAAACCCATGAAGATTATTTTATAATTCCCAATGGTTTGTAATGTTTCTGAAAATTTTTCTCATACAGTTTTATATGAAATCTGTGTTTCTATTAATTTAAACATGTTGCTGTTTAAATCTCTTTTATGTTTGAAAATATTTTGTCTTACTTACACAAAATTACTTAAACAATTACTTTTTTTTTGCATGATAAAATGTCCAAAAGATGAAACTAATATATCTTAGATATTAAAAACAAATAAAATTCAGAAATTAACCAAAAAAACTAATAGTTAATTCGAGCGTTTAATGTAACTATGGCTTTAAGATACAGCATAAGCAGGCAGCATGCACACACATATCAATGCTAGACTTATAGATAAAAATATATGATGCTACTATAACTAAGGGGGAAAAAAAAGAAGGGGGGAGGAAGGTAAAGACATGAATTAATTGCCAAACTTTCTAGAGTTAAGTTTAACTAAACCTTCACTTAAAAAGAGTTACACTCAAAGATAAAGATCATATCTTAAATAAAATAAAGATATGTAATTAAATAAGCTTATATAGTAGGACTAGTTAATATAATATAATCATGTTTGTCCATGGCTATTTTAATAACATTAAACGATGACCAAATATATCCTTTAAAACAGCAATGGAATTTAACTAATTTAACATAAATACAACAAAAAAGCATATAAATAAGTATTTTCACAGAATTTTCATAAGAGAGGGATTTTTTTAATGTAGTACATTCATATCTTTAATACAATAGTTCATTTATGAAATGTTTATAACATTTCTGGGAATTATTTGCCCAATGCTATACATCTAAATCTTCATACTTGGTATGCCTCATTCACTGGAAGGGAACATGTAAATGTAAAATTTTAAGTTATTCAAAAAGTAATAATCTCCTTTATTCAAACTGTAGACATTTTCTATTGAATGTACAAATTTATTTATAGTAAGATTCAGTTCGTTTAACATGGATAATTAATTTATTTAAGAATTCATACAAAAAATACCTGAATTAAGTTACGATAAAAAAATCTAATACTGCTGTTATTGTCTTGTCCATAAATTTCATGGAAGAATGGTTGTCAGAGCCTCAAGGAAATTGGATATTTATTTCCACATCAGTTTTGAAGCAGAGCACCCCAAGAGATGGTCTGAGGGTCTCTCACCCCTCTTCCCTACAAACAATCCACTCGAGAGGCCTTTCGGCTCACCATATATTTAGAGTACGCCCATGCCGCAATGACACCATACATTTACAAACATCCATGTTTTCTCTGGGATTTGAACCTGGGTACTTTAGTACCGTAGTAGGCTCCCCTAAACACTGCACAACCATCTGGACAGCATCTAATACTGCTTCAACTGTCAAGTTATATTTCCACTAATTTTTATATTATTAAACAATAGAAAGAAAACCTAGCAAAATCAGCAATGACTAAGGAAATAAGATGCAAGTTTGCTCCAAAAATGTTTTTGAAAATTGCGTTTTGAGCCAAAAAGTTCCTTACTTGGCTTTTAGAGCAAAATGTGGCATAAAATGAAAGAAGTCAATAATAAAATATTTCAAAACAAAAACATTCTTAAATATTTAAAATCCTTAAAAAATAAATAAAGGAAAATTAAATAATTTCACTGCTTAAACTGATACCTAAATGAATATTTTGAAACAATTTATATTTTAAATTTGAATTTACATAGTTAAAAATTCAAACTAACTTGGTAGTATCCATTGCAGAACAGTTTGCAGACAGCTCTGTCAATAATAAAGGATTAACAGTTTCACTGTAAGCATGGGAATCCTGCACCATATTAGAAACAGAATGCTGAAAAAAAAAATGAATGAAGTTAAATATGGATAGACTTATGATGGAATAAGAGTGAAATTTTTAATACATATATGGCTCAAAATTGAACAACAAACACAAAACAAAAAACTTACACTTTTTATAAAATATGATAAACTTTATATCATACATGAACACAAACAAAATTTTTTACAATGAAAATAATTATTATAATAAATACAAAATTAGTGACAAAAATTTAAATTTTTTTACATGTAAATCAATGTTCAAGAAGAAATGATAATTAGGGTAGCAATTTTATTGTTAAAGTGGGAAAACAAATTATGTAGCTCAAACACAGGGTAAAGAGCACATGTTTAATAAACTTTTATTGATATAAGATTTAACTAATAAAAAAACTATATATATAAAAAAAAGCTGTACAGTGTAAAATATGGAAAGAACAATTGAATAATGAAGTTAATGTATTTTGATAATGAGAAATATTTATTTGCATATGCTACAATAGCCAATATTGAAATATGGGAGATTTTTCACAATGCATAGTGATGCAACAAATTTAACAGAACCTCTCCTGATCTATAACATAAATTTTAGCACTGCCAGGAATGATATTTTTGAAGGAGCAAACTAGTTGCCAACATAAAATCTTTTCACTTTCTGGTAGCGTTCTACGCTGAATTATGTTGGCACATATTCCATCATTTCATGCCAGTATTCACAAATTTGGGTGCAGGATAAAATTTTCCTTTCTTGAAAGAGCACGACTAAATTTTCACTTAATCGTAAATAGAAAATTGTCATCATTTTGAATCCCAGAAAAAATTTTGTAACAATTCCCTTAATTTTGAATAAAAGTTTGCTACATTGTTTGGTGATAAATTCCATCAAACATGGTGATTAATTATTAGTCATTGGTAAAACTGTCAACTTTTCAGAAAGCTTTTAAACCTCATAAATTAAAACTAATATTTAATGTGATTGTAATCATGCAAATAAACTTAGCATCAAAACATTTACAGATTTAAAATGGAATTTAATATAAATAGTCATCAAGTAAACATCAATCAAGTTATCATAAAATTTCTAGACTAAATTAAGCAGTTTAGCTAGAATAAAATATAATCAAAAAATTGTATCAAAATTCATTCATAAAAAATTACATCTGCATAACATGTTTATTTACAGATGATGATTAATGTACTTTCCCCTCTGCCATTCTGACAAATAAAACTGTCCTCAGCTTGTGAAGATCTTTATTCCAGCTGACACTAATCAAACCTTGATATGCCAGCATGGAAATACTTGAACTGCAGTTTTGGATTCTTGGAAGTTCGACGAAACTAATAAATAAGCCACAGGATTTAAACATTTTACAATGAATTACTTATATATAATTCTGTAGCTTCCAATACGAGTATGTACACTCAAAATACTGAAAGACCTTGGGATTCGGTAATATGGCGAAATACGAAATCATGGCAGAATCGTGCAGCATCATATTGAATCAATTAAAATGAATTTGTGTGGCACCATGTTTATAAAGAAGATTAGTATTTTTTTGCTATTTCCAATGCCATTAGATAATTTAAGCTGCCAGAATGGCTGGCATAATGAATGTTTATGTTTAATGAATTTGCCAGATAATCTCAGAGCTTGAGTTTATTTAAATTTTTTATATGCTGCACCTATTTTGATTTCAGAATTACATTTGCATACAGTTCAAGAAACAAAGTTACTATTTTGTAAAAACAAAACATTGCACATCTGTTTTGACATTTTAGGATATTTACAGACTATAGGTTACTATTTGTAATATTCTTGTGCATAATATGTCCTTTCATATTAAACCGATAATTCTCTTCAAATATGTAACTGACTTTTTTTAGTCTCTCTCATATTTTTTGAGATAAGATCATTATTTCCTGAATTTCAGTGGAAGGGAGAGCTGCAGTTCATCTCATTTTGCAGAGCACTTTTTTTAAACCGTAACTAACTAAGACATTATGTACTGAAACACACTCTGTTCACTAGTTATATAGAAATGAATATAAATTTTTTGTTAACCCTGCATAATCAGATATTCATAGAAAGTATTGATAATCAGCTGCCTTTTATGAAAGTTATGAAAGTGCCAAAATACAGATATTCTCCAGTAATACAAAAAACCACAATTTTCACTGGAAAATTCTAAATTAGTATAAACGTGTACAATATACAGTCCACCTCTTTAACTCTTTGTGGTGCACTATACTTTAAAGTCGGAATTTCAACAAAAAAAATTGTATGCAGTCTATCTAGGCCTAAAGGAAAATACAGGTAAAATTTTGTATAAATTGCACTTACCGTTTTAATTCTGTGGGTGTTCCATGAGGTGGAACACTGCGCTGCCAGAGATTTTAAAAGTGCGACTAAGCAAGCATTGCAGTGAAGCACGGAAATGAGTAGGAGTGTTTTTATAGTAATGAAAAAACACTGTATATTATTATATTATGGCTGTATACAGTCAAAAGTCGTTAATCCGGACTCGTCGGGACTTCGGCGATTCCAGATTATAGATCATAAGTTTAAATCTGGTAAGATGGCATGCAGAAATTATAAAATTAAAAATATGAAACCATAATTTATGAAATAAAGAACAATTATGATCTAAAGGGTATCAAAATTTACAATTAAAAAAAAAGGCTTAATATTTATTTGTTTACTTTATTAAACATTTCTTTCAATGTAAGTTGTTTAAGTTGCTTCGTTTTTTATGTGATAATACATTCTCTTTAATTCTATAAACAGACATAATTTCTTGTTCAGTTACAAAGTTCCGCTGTTTAAGTCCTATAATTGCTGTGTCGAGAATACCGACTAATTTGTCAATCGAAATTTTTTCCTTTTCAATAACCTCTGTCACTTTCTTCACTATCGGAAGCGAATTAAAATGATGAGGAATTTGATTTAAATCATATCAAAGACAGAGTACATCAAGATGAAATACTACATTTAGTAAGGAATTATAAGTCAAATAAAATAAAAACATCTGCCCTTGAGATAAGGATAGTGCTGACAGATCAACTTTCAATTCATTGCGCGCCGCGGCGTTAAAGACAAACAAATGTTAAAGTTTAGATAAACAAAGGATATGCCTTTATCCATTTTTTGCAGCAATTCCACCTTTTGTTTAATGGACTTCGAAACATACTTTCGCTTTGTAGATCCTTTACATATTAGTAAATATATATCAGAAATTCTATTTAACATAATCGAAAGTTCAAGCTTACTTTTATAAAATTGCTCTAACAGTCTGCAAAAAATAATAAGCCGAATCCAATTCGAAGATTAAGGAACAACGCAATCTGCAACATTAACTGAATTAGATAATTTTAGCTCAGCTTATACCGTCCGTTATACATTAAACGTGCATTCGTAAATGTATTTTGCGCACGCACATATTCGCAGCCGTAAAGGTCTTATGTGACGCATGCGCAGAAAGTTTGTAGCTTTGAGGTCCGGATTATAGATCATTCTGGATTATGGGTGTTCAAATTAACGACTTTTGACTGTACATGGTTTTCTGGATATACACAACATTCTTGAATAAATATGGATAAATGAGATAAATATGTGTATACACAAGTCCTATATACAAAGATATTTACAAATTTTTCGTTTTCTTAGCTTTGTGAAATTGTTCAAAGCATGTCGCACCTTTTTAATAGAAGCACAAAACAACTTTGCAGGTTTTGAACAAAAAACTTGTTTTGTGCAGGCTTTTTGTTCCGTGCAACAATATGTTTAGGAATTCCAAGTAAAACTTGAGGCTGCGTAGAAGGGGCCTGGGTAAGATGGAATCATCAACCTTCTCATCAAATAAATGAAGTTTCAATCCAGACATATCACAATAGGATTACACAAGTGGTTCAGGAGCATATATCAGTACTGCTGATATCTTCATGCTCTGATTCAGAATAAGAGGGTAATTCATGAAACACTTTTAGCGCTTTGGAAAGAGACTTCTTCGTGCCATTTATGGAAAATTAATAATAAAAATTAACTACAATTAAAATACTAACAATAAAGAAAAATAAGCTATACATACACAAAAAAATATCTACACAATTATTGAAAATAAATGAAAATAAACAGACTAAAAAACGACAGCAAAAAATTCGTGCAGCTCTAAGTAAAGATGACTCGAGCTACTGATAAAAATCCCGCCTGAAAATTGCTCACAAAAATTTCAAGATGACCATATTAGGGCTTTCATAGCACAAACCACACCTCACCCCTCAAGACTGCTTTGTTTAAATTCATATCCCCAAAACAACGTAAATAGAAACCATATGCAACAGATGTTTTCTCCTAAGACAGATGTTGTGATGCATAATAGCATGAGATCGCTAAAGGCGCAGTGTTCCCGCTAATAGAACACTCCGTTTTATTCAATGATTCGTGCATTCTTTTTGTACGAAAAATGTAAAAAAAAAATATATAGCAAATAATATAGAGTACAGCCATCAAAATTATACAGAAATTGTTTTTCAAAGAAATATTTTTGTATCACGAAAAAAATATAGAAAATAAGTGGATTTTAATAACACATCATAAATGAAAATTCTGGGTCTCGTTGTGACATGCTGCCATTGACTATTTAAAAAGAGAAGTTCGAAGTATATTATAAAGGCATTTTTATCCATTTATGGTTGAATTTAACGGTTTCAGAAGCAATTCAAGTTGGGTGTTCCATGTAGTGGAAAAATGAGCAACAAAGGGTTAACTTGTTAACAAGACTAATTTTTTATGCATTCAAGCCATTTAGTCAACTACTCTATCAGCAAGGAATAAGAAATAAAGTCAACCTTATTTAACGCAATGAGCATATGGGGCAAATGTCCCAGCCGCAAGAAAAAGGTTAAAAGGTCATTGTTGGAATCAAGAAAAAATTATTTACTTACAGTAACAAATACCTGGAGTTAAAGAATAAATATTTTTTGATAGAAATGAGAAAAATACTTAAATAATTAAAT